TCTGCTGCCCGCTGGCGCTCGGCGGACCCGCGCGGGGCCTGGCCGGGGCGGCCGAGGGCTCGGTGGCCGCGGAGCAGGGCGTCTGGCAGCTGCTGCTGGTCACCTTCGTGTCCTACGCCCTGCTGCCCGTGCGCAGCCTGCTGGCCGTCGGCTTCGGGCTCGTGGTGGCTACCTCGCACCTGCTGGTCACAGCCACCCTGGTCCCCGCCAAGCGCCCGCGTCTCTGGAGGACGGTAAGTGGGGTCCCCGACGCGCCGCGCGGCGGGACCGGGAGTGCCTGGGAGCGCCGGGAGTGCCGGGAGCGCCGCGCTTCCTGCGACCGGGCGGGTGGGGAAACTGAGGTCGCGGACGGGGGAAGGGTTGTTCAAGGTCACTCAGCTAGCCGGGGACACTCTCTGCCCGGGCTTTGCACGGGGATACAGTCCAGTCACAAAGCGCCGGTGGGCGCGGCGTGGAGCGGGGAGATGCACATGGAGAGGGGGACTGGCCCAAGGTCAGGTGGCCGGGGAGCGGCCAAGAGGGCCCAGACCCGGGTCCGCCGCGCCCTCCGGAGCCCAGCCCCGCAGAGGGACTGGAGGCGGCGGGAGGCTCCGGCTGCCGGCTGGGGTCTTGGCTGGCGGGCACGCAGTCCCCACTCCTCTCCTCGGGGCTCACCGCTCTGTCTTGGGCCCCCGGGGGCGGATGGGAGGCGACAGAAAGGGGCTTCGCATCCTTCCAGTCTCCCTGTCTGTCCCGCGGGGATCCCTTCTGCCCCACAAGGAGCAGGGTTTGCCAAGGTCACAGCGGTCTAGTCTCTCCCGCCCCTGCTCCGAGGTCGCCCTGACCCTGGCTCTTCAGCGCAGAACTTTGTCACTGTCTTCGGGCTTGGCAGGGGAGACGGTGGCAAGGGCAAGGACGCAGGAATTCTGCCTCTTGTGGTTCCTCCTGGACGCCTGCCAGACCCACCCGGCGACCTGGATGGGAGATGGGCACTGACGGTGCCCCCAGGGGCTTGCGGAGCCTTCCCTGGGGCCTGTCCCACACCAGCCCCGGGGAGGGCTTGGTTCCTGGCTCTGGCTGCAGTTCAGCTGGAGGTGGTGTGCACCAGCGTGGTGGGGACCTCAGCTTGGAAAGGAGGCAAAGGAAGAGGACAGAGGGAGATTCAGGACTGGAGATGGACTGGGGGGGGTCGCACCAGAAAGCCGTGACTGTGTGGGGAACGCACAGGACCAGCGCCCGGCCCCAGCCCCTCGTGCTTGTGCAGCCGGGTAAGGGGCCGGGCTTGTGCAGGCCCCGGAGAGACAGCAGGTGCTCAGACCTGCAGGCAGGTGGGGCGCCGGAGGGAAGGAGAGGGTGTGGGGCAGAGCTGGCAAAGATGGGTTGGCAGGGTCGGGGAGAGCGAGGTAGAGCAGGGGTGAGGGCCAGAGACAGAGAAGAGGCTCAGAGAGTGGCCATGGGGAGTCCAGCCAGGGAGGGGCACGGGGGCAGGCTTCTCCACACTTCCTGCGGGCAGCGCAGCGGCGCCCGGCATCCTCCTGGGCACTCCCATCCTCCCCAGCCCCATCTGCCTGCGTTTAGCCTGGCTCTCATGCTGGCAGCCAGACCGGTGTGGGTACAATGAACTCCCCACTGCAGCAGAAGGGCAGATGCCAGGGCAGCCCTGGAGTAGGAGGGTCCAGGGATCTGGGCCACGCTGACCCCCTGTGCACACCAGGGAGTCTGTAAGGGCCGTCAAAGCCTGTATTATTGTCTTCTTTTTAAGTAGAGATTTTTCCTATAGAGCCCCTAGGCATTCCTTTCAGGGAAAGATTAAACAAGATGGGGAGGAATCTGCCAAGGTGCCTCGTTCCCTCCCTCTGGAGTGAGAAAAGCCCTTGTTACTCAGGGGGGAAGGAAGCCCAGCCCAGAGACAAGGATGCTTAGGGGCAGGTGCCTGAGCTTCAGCTGCCTGGGCGTTGCAGACCATTCCCTCACTGAGCCTCAGTCTCCCCACCTGCGTGAAGAGGGAAGAGCGCCCCGCAGGGCTGTGTTGAAGGTGGGCGGTTCCTCCTGGAAAGGCACACACTGGAAATCTCCTGTCGCTTCTACACCCTCTGTCCTCTTCACAATGTTAGTGTTCAGGTTGATGCTGCTGGTGGTGATATTGATAAATAGATAGGATCCGGGCACAGCAGGAGCAGTCCGTAGTGGTGGGAAGGGCTGGGCGCTCCCCTGGGGGTCCTTCTTCCAGCTGCACAATTCCAGGTGCCTGGGAAACCTGTCCTTAATGAGTGCCGAGTGAGGAAGGCGGCGTGCGCAGCAGGCAGCGTTGGCGTCTCCCCTGCCTCTCCTGCCTCCCCGCCGCCTCCTGTGCATCACACCTGTCACCTCTGGGGCTCAGTCACCTGCTGACACTGCTGCCTCCCTAGCGCTGAATGCGAGGCAGGCAGTAACCGTGCACGTGTGGGCGTGGATGCCCCAAAGGGACAGACTGAACAAAGGAGGACATCCTGCAGGGGGACACAGCAGGACATTTCTGCAGGGTCTCCACCCCCATGGGGCTCTCCTGGCGTGGAGCCCCCAGAAAGCACGGGGTACCTTCTGCTGCAGTCAGGTGAACTTGCCCCTGAACATTCCTGCAGGGAGCCTGGTTGTTGGGCTGGGGCCTGGATTCGAGTCCACTCTGTACAGGGGCGCACATCTGTTTGCAGGGCCACTAACCGTCTTTAAGGAGGGCCTCGGGGCTCCTGCAGCTCTGCTGCTCCGCTTGTGGTGCACGAGGCTCTGGCACAGCCTATGGTTTGGGGCACCTCATACCTCTTCCACAGAATCCAGGCTAGCTGTGTGCCCTGTTGGAGTTGGCAGCTGCTGATGCCCACTCCTCCCCTGAGGGAGTGCTTGGTGAGGTGCCCTGCATCCATGTCAGGGAGGTCTCCAGGGCATGTGCCCTGGCCCCACCACGGGAAGAGCAATCAGGAACTGCCTGTAAATGAAGCCTGCAGCATCCACCTCCCTGGGTTCCTTCCCCCGCCCAGCCCCCTGCTTCCAGCTACTCTTGGACCCAAACAAAGTAAAGCAATGCGCTTCTATGGTGCTGAGCCACTCCTGGTCATGTGTGGCTGCGGTCTGCTCCACAGGGGACAGCTGGCCAGGGAGGCTACAGAGCACGCCGGGGCTGTGGGACACTCTGGGTGGGGAGAAGAGGAGATGCCACAGGGCTGGGCTGGCCCTTGGGGGTGTCCCTTACTGCAGGGATGCAGAGAGCCTCCAAGCAGGGCTACGCTATTGACATGCTCCAGGACACTGCTCTTTTTGAAAAATTTTTGGCAGTAGCAGAGGTCCATGATCTCATCTGCAGTATATGTTTTCAGTTTGATTGCTTCTGCATGTAAAAGAAATGTGCTTCCATTTCTGTTCTTCACCCGGCTTAGGCAGGATCGCAGACATCACTGTGATCACAGAGCTGCCCCTGGAGGTCTTGCCGTGCTTTCTGGTGCTCACAGGGCTTTGAATGCTGTCCTTGTCCTGCCAGGGCTAGGCTGCCTGGGGTGAACAGGTTCCTGCTGGTCTGGAGGGGGCGGCTGAGACGCCGACTTGGTGGGAGCTGACGGGCTTGTGAGGAGGTGGGTCTCCTGCATCACGGTCAGTGGGGTGATCTGTCGTTCACTGTGGTTTCCCAGGACAGATGCATCCCCCGGTTTCTGTGCATGGTTGTTTGGCAGGCGCTCCCCATCCTGCCCACACTGTGAGGCCGCAGTGATATGGGGCCTGGCTCTCACTATCAGCTGTTTGGTGTGTCTGATTGGTGACCCCGAACCATGGAAGTGGGGTGCTGGGCTAGATCCCACAATGGAAAAGACCCCAGGATGCAGGAGCAGACCCCGGCCTGTTTCCAGTTGTGGCGGGAGCTCCCGCCACCGGAGCACCTGTCTCCTCCCAGGGGCTGAGGAGGTGATGGCAAAGGCGTCTGCTGTATGTGTCTCAGTGTGACGAACAGCTACCCATCCTGTGTTCATGCTAGTGTCCACACACGCATGTGTTCACCATAAACACAGGCACCCGTACACCCTTGTGTGTGCACACCCGCAAGACAGCCCTCTCACGCACTGCCACAGCCATTCTTATACTACATACATGTGCGAACCCGTGCACACGCTCACATAAACACTCACAAACCAGCACTTGCTCAACCTGCACAACTCGATACCCACCCCACAAACATGCCTGTATACACTTACACTCATTTCCACACTTGCACACGTGCTCAGATACCTACACCCCCCCCCACTTAGTCAGGTGCACTCGTGTGTGCACATAACCACACTCAGGCATTCTCAAACACACACACTTGCACAGACATACTCATCTGCATGCTTGCACACACCCACGCCCACTCGCATGTCACGCCTTCACTGTAGGCGCCACTCTCCTTATCTGTGTGGCAGCTGCGGGGCCATGGCAGAGACCCGGTGAGGCCGTCCTTCCGCGCTTGCTCCAGGACCTTGGGTGACACCTGGGGTCTGCACTGTGGACTGAGGCGGTCAGGCTCAGGTTGGAGTGGGACCCTGGATCCTGGGGTGGGAGGAAGGGAGGGGGTACCCTCAGCTTACCCGGGCTGAGGTGGGCTGCATCCTGCAGCACCCCCAGCTGATTCTGAACAGCAGCCCCCTAACCCCGCCTGCTGTGAACAGGGGCTCAAGCCTGGCCGCTGGATCCCTTTTGTTAGCAGCTTGGCGTATCTGTTGTTGTATCACCAATCACATGTGACACATGCCTAGTGCTCTGCCCCTTGCTTCCTGCAAGCTCTGGTCCTTCTAGAGCTGGGACATGGTTGATCACACAGTGGCTTTTGGGGGGCCCGCTGCACCATGTGCCCACACGTGGGGCTGTGAGGCGTGCAGCTTGGATACGCAGGGTGCCAGCTTGCCGCAGGGCCGCTTCCCACGGTCTGCTCCTTACTGTGGACCTTGGCCCAGCTTAGCGCACCAGTCCTGGTGGCCTGCTTCTCCTCGACTCTGCACATGACCCCTCAAGTGCCCATTGCAGGCAGTGGGCCCTTTGGTGGCTGCAAACCTGAGCCCAGTGTGTTCTCTGGAGGGCGCCTTCCAGCCCACTCATGCAGCTCAGAGCAGGGTGTGGAGCTCTTGGCCTGCACCTGGCATCCAGCCCCTCCATGAGAAGTGTCGCCGTGAGACGCCTGTCGTCCGCTGGCCTGTACCCGGGGGAGGGCTGCTCTGCTATAGTGCCATCGATCCTTGGAAGCAGCATGGTCACA